TCTCATGGATTTAATTACTTCATGTATTTCTTCTTCTGTGGGAGGGGAGAGCAAAGTTTCCCATTCTTCTGTTAGCATTTTTTTATGAAAGAGGCCCGACACATTTATGTCATGTTCATGATGGCAGTCCCCAATTTCTTTGGCTTTGGACTTAAACATTTCTGCTACCTCCTCTAGTTTCATGACTTCCCCACTTTCTTTTTTTAGAAACTCCAGGCTATTTCTTTTTTGATTAAAGTTGACCATCTGATGGAAATATCTGGTGTTCTGGTCCCCCTCCTTTAACCACATCTCCCTAGACTTCAATTTCCACAACTGTTCCTCTCTTATTAGCCATTTGTCATATTCCCTTCTTAGTCTAGTCAGCTCCCCATTGCTGGCTTGACTATCCCCTTTTTGGATTGCCAAAACAATCAGTTTTAGCTTCTCATCTATATTCCCAGATCTTGTTTTATTCCATTTCTTTAGAGCCCATTTGCACTATTTAAGTTTAGTAGGAAGACTTCGGTTTCCTGACTCTACCTCCCACAAATCTTTTATCAGTTTGTTGCATTCCTCATCATCATCCCACATTGGAAGAAAATGGAACTATTTAGGACCAGATATAAAGGTTGGATTTGTCTCTAAGAGTACTACGACATTATCTAACAAAATGGTAGGATAGGACAAAGTTTTTTCCTCTGGAAATATCTCATGCCACCACTATAATGCAAATCCCCTACCTAACTTCTCTTTCACCAGCTTGTTTCCACTTTTATGACTGGACCAAGTAAAATGGGTTTTGGCAGTCCTTATTTCTTAAAGTCCATGGTTCTCAGTCAGTTGGATTAGGGCTTTTGATGGTTTTCTTCCATTCCAAGAGCAACCCCTGTAATCACTCATCGATTATGTCATTTAAGTCACCTATGAGGAGCCATTTATCACTATCTTCCAGTATAGTGCTTAGGTTTTCCCAGAACGAGGTACATTGACTCTTTATTGGGTTGCCATAAACCAAACATAAACCCCAAGCTGGATCTGAGGCTGAGTTTCGCACTTGGCCTAGAATCAGTCTTTCGGAGTTGTGAATGATTGTTATAGGGAAACATGACTTCCAACAACACACCAAACCCCCTGCCTTCCCTTTACAAGGGATAATTTCACTGTGGTTATAGCCTAGTTTTCGTGTTAGTCTGATTGCCCTAGTCTCATTCAATTTGATTTCAGAGAGGAAAACTAGATCAGGGTTGGTATTTCTAATGCTTTTGGACATGAATCTAACCGTTTAAGGGTTACAACACTCAAAATTTGCCCAACCAAACTTCATACAATAGATAGAGAGTGGATAGAAAAAGTGAATAGGAAATATGGGCTCCACAAATGGGGCCTTAATCAGAATTAGTAAGAGTGCAACTTAGGTAGACTTAGAGTTGATATTTTGTTAAAATTGGAATAGACTTATCCAATTATCGAGAAGCCCGAGACTGATTTGCAGGGTAAATTATATTCTTCAAATTGGTTGTCCAACTTGCACCCCCCAATGGTCATAAGCTACATTGTAATTGACTTTTCCTTAATATTCTCTCTACAGCTAAACGCTAAATGTTTAGCTTGCACACTTAGCTTGGGATCATTTTTTTGAAAAAGGCAAAAAGCCAAAATCAACTAACATAGCACAAACATCGAGTACGTGATTGACCTTGTGTTCAAAAAGAACTTTGCTACAATCGAGAATGTCAAATATGCTACATTAAGGGGGCGTTCTGTAATGTAGACGAGATATTGTGTGGTGTGGATTCATCTACACCACACCACTGTGGCATGGATGAATCCACACCACACCACACCACATGCTGGAGTTGTTCTATAGCGTGGGCGAACTATGTGGATTGAACCACACCACACGAATAAAGGCATTTTCCAAGGTGTGGTTTAATTCAATCCACACCTTGTGTTTTGATTCTATGTATCCCACATACAATATATGAAATGATTTACATCATTGGTCAAGTATAAAAATTATTATGTTTTATAAATAAGATAAATAGTAAAATAATACAAATTAAAAATAATAGTTAATAATAAGAGACAATACATCAATACATATTTATCAATAAAAGTAAATTAAAATAAAACATTAACACATATTTATTAATAAATATAAAAATTATTAAAAATCCTAGTTTTATAGATAAATTAACGAAAAATAGTTAAAGATAAAAACAAATCTTTCTAACAATAACTAACAAAAATGAATAAGAAATTAAACTACACAAATATAACTAACACTGATAAAATTAAAAAAGATCAATAAGAAATTAATATAATTTTTTAATAATATTAAAGATTAATAAAAACATTACTTTTGAAATTAAATTATAGTTTTAAAATATTTTTAAAATAATAAAAATTAGTCAAATATAAATAACATTCGATGCAAAGAAGGCAATGAGAGAGAAAAGTCAAATAGAAGAAGATACATAGGTTATGGTGATGAATTATGGTGAAACACAGAATCATTCTTTTATTGTAAAAGTTAACTTCCACACCAACCATGAGATAAATCCGTGGATGATATTTTGAGAGAGAGACCATTTCAATCCACGGTATATTGCGTTTGACAACTCGCTACACCTCAAACGAACGCAAGTTTGAGTGTAGCGTGCTTTGAAATGAGCCACCATCACTCAAATACTAGCTACCACCTCTTCGAAGATAGAGAACATATTTCACCATTTCTTAGATTCCAGTTGATGATCCAGATTTCAAGGACAATTTCGGTATCCACCAAACTGATTTGGCCAAAGGACAGAAGAAAGATTCACTATCTTCCTTACTGTATGCACAACTAGCTAGGATTAATTTTAATTTGTTACTACTTACTACGACCGGCCAGAATAGATCTCAGAGGGACTTAGACAAGCATCACTAAATAAATGTGATATGACTCTTGGAGGTAGCAACTTAAATGATTAAAGCTTCTTCCAAGATCTGAATGAGCCTGGGCTGTCGAAATCCAAGGAATAAGGGAGTCTTGGGAGATGGGGTGATTTTGCTAAGGTGAGATACTGCTAATCTTTTTAAATGTTCAAGGGTCAAAGATTGCTTGCACCTTTTTCAAATCCCATTGTCTAGAATCTAGACAGATGAAATAATCGACTAAAAATGAAGAAAATTTCGTGGTCTGACAAGGAATCTTAGGATGCATGCATTTTCATCTGGTATCACTTAAACGTCGACATGCTATATTTTGATGTTTCAACAAAATTCACACGAATAATAAATGGAAAAGTAATTAGATACTCTTGTTAGTCAACTTAGCTTGACATGTGTCTCTATTATAAGTTGAAATAAAAAAGGAAAATGATGGTTCAGCCCAGGGTCAGAATTCATAGTCACAAAGTACAGTTGGGATAGGTGCCAATTCGGAATTGATGTTAATTCACAGCCGAGCATTGGTGCATAGAATGGGGGTAATTGACATTTTGAAATGTTGTAGATCTGCAGTGGAAATCAGAATTCTATAATGGGTCTGTCCGTACTTCTTTGAAAAAAAAAAGTAGCTAATGGGATTATGAGCATCCATTAAAGGATTAGGGTCTCTTTAGATTTTGGCATAATTAGACTGCACTCCACCTCAGAATTCTAAATTCCAATGCAGATCTACAACAATTCAAAATTTCAAATACTTTCATCTTAAACACCCATACCCGCCCATATATTAGCATCAATTTCAAGCTGACACCTACCCTAATTATATGATGGAGCTAAAAATTCTAGGAGTGGACTGAACAGTAAAAACCTCGATTTTGGGATAAATAGACTGGTGATACATGCTCGGATTTTGTGAACACATTTGTAATTGTGGTGTTTCTGTTTTCGTTTTGATTCTACTTAAAGGCCACATAAATTTGATTGGTTTTAATTTATCCACTTTTTGAAAATTTATTTATTTTGTTTTTATTTGATCCTCAGGTAAATTATACAATATCTTTTTGATCTACAAAAAGTTGTTGTTAGAATGTGCAAAATTGTTCCATCACGTTTTGTTAAATTTTCCCATATAAAAAAAATTATTATTTATCCATATGAGAGATGAGTATCAATTACTCATACCTATTTTTCTATAGGTAAATTATACAATATCTTCTTTATCTACAAAAAGTTATTGTTAGAATGTGCAAAATTGTTCTATCACGTTTTGTTAATTTTTTCACATATAAAAAAATTATTATTTATCCATATGAAAGATGAGTATCAATTACTCATACGTATTTTTCTATAGGTCAAAAAATGAATATGGGAAAAGCAATAATGGGAAACATCATTGTTTAAATTTCAATTTTTTTTTATTTCATTATAACTTATTTGTTGTATTTTATGTTTAAGATGCTAAATTTTTAAACAATATGTAATATAGTTTTGGTAAAAAATACTTATTATATATATATATATATATATATATAGTTAAACAGTTTAGTATGCTGTCATTTTTATTAATGTTTTATCATAAGAAATGCTCCAAATTGTTATTATCATAGGTAATAATATATGGAAGTATAATGGGTCTAATCGGACCAGACCCGATTATATATCCTGATTAATAATTGGTCCTCTGATTAAAATAAAAAATTGACATTCATACATCTCACACACTTAACTGGAATCATCTTTATTTGAATCAGCAAAATATCAATCGTCATCTGTTTCTTTCGATCATATCTATGCTAAGTCAATAAATAAATGTGCTGAAATAATTGGAAGCTTCTAATTTGAAATTTTAGTTTTGGAGCCGCCCAGAATTTAAGTGGAGATTCCTTGCGGAGAACCTCCGTTACAAGTTGCTGTCAAAACTGTGCTAGGCGTGTCAGCTTCGAATTACGCCTCTCAACCGGGAAGCTCACGCCATGTTTCGGCTCTGAACACGGTTTCAGTCGCAATCCGTTGTCGCCAAGATTTGGATTCCTCTTACAAAAATCTATAAATCTATACAATTTTCCGGTTTCATTCTCTCACAAAAATCTATAAATCCCAATTGCCTTTCCCTCCAAAACACATATAACATCTATTTCTTCTCGTGCATTGCTTATCTCACCAAATCTTTGCCGGAAAGCGATGGAAGTAGTTTCCCTTCGTCCCCCTGTACTTCCGCCACGACCATTTCCAGCCAAGTCCCGGCACCGGAAAATTGGCACCGACGAGCATCACAAGAGAAGGTCCTTTGTTAGAGTCTTTGCGAGGAAAAATGATGCCTCCAACCGGAACTATGATGGCCGGCTTGTCGATGAGAACATGATCGTTCTACGTATGCGCATTCAGGAGATGAAGATGGCGGAGGAGAACTACGAGCCACCTTCGGGCTGGATGGAGTGGGAGAAGCGATATTACGCAAATTACAACACAGACATCTGTGAAGCAGTGGGGTTCTTACAGACCCAGTTGACGAATATGAGGCCAAGCTTGGCTCTGGGGCTGGTGGCTCTTGTCACCTTGAGCGTCCCCATATCAACGGCTGTGGCCATGTCCCATTTGTTTGAGATAACTAAGTGGATCCTATCTGGAACTCATCTCGTCTGACTTTTTTTTTTTTTTTCTCTTTTTCTAAATAGCTGACTTGTTTATGGTTCATCTGGTTCTGTTACTTCTGTATATATAAAAAAACTTGGATCATTTCTCCATGAACATCATCGCTGGAGAAAGAGTTTCTCTTTCTGTTTCAGTATATATTATTTGTTTTTTCCCTCTTAGATTTGATCATCTGTGCAGTTTTAAATCATTGTTTATTCAAACTAAGTACATTATTCTAAAGCGAGGATGTCGGGACTCATTCTTTGGGTCCCAGAAACACTCATTCCTCGATCAAGGATCATCAAATTTATCGTCTGATTTGTAGAAAATCGGTAAGTCCCCATCGAATAGCCGCTTGGTGGCCGATCATGGATGGTGACTTCATTTTGATGCTGTTGATAAACTTTTTGTTATTAAACGGGCGCTTCAGCTAGCTATTAAAATGGGTTTTTGTCAATCTGGATCCAGTGCCGTTTAGACTCGAAGGGATTTTCTTTTTCAGTCCAATAACATTTAGGTGCTGAATTGGAGTAAACCTGCAACCAGTTGAATGAACGGATTCCTCTCCCTCTCTCTCTCTCTCTCTCTCTCTCTCTCTGAAAAATCTTTGAATCTCAATTGCCTCTCCCTGCATAACCCATCACATCTCTTTTTGGTGCATTGTCTCCTTCCACCAAACCATTGTCATCAGAAAGTAATGGAAGCAGCTTGTCTTCGTTCCCCTGTACTTCCCCCACGACCATTTCCGGCCAAGTCCCGGCACCATAAAATTGGCACCGACGAACTTCTCAAGAGAAAATCCTTTGTTAGAGTCCTCCCGAGGAAAAACGATGCGCGCGTCCAACCGGAACTATGATGGCCGGCTTGTCGACGAGAACATGCTCGTTCTACCTATGCTCATTCAGGAGATGAAGATGGTTGAGAAGAAGTACGAGCCACGTACCTTCGGACTGGATGGAGTGGGAATAGCGGTATTACTTAAATTACAACGACGCAGACATCTGTGAAGCAGTGGGGTTGTTTTCTCCATGGACATAATTGCTGGAGAAAGAAAGAACTTACCCAACTGGGTCGTTCTCTTTCCGTCTATATTATTTGTTTTTTTCCCTGTTTTATCAACTGGGTTGTTTTAAATCATTATCATTCAACCCAACATTCCAAAGCGAGGAGGTTGAGACTCATTCTTGAGTGTGGGTCCTTAGATTATGACATTAACTCATCAAGCCAAAGGTTATCCTGGCCTAATGATATTTTTTTAGACTAATTAATTCGAGGAGAGACGAAAGACCCAGAACCACTGTCTGGTTAAGAAGCAACCTAAGCTCAGCTCACATCATTCGACCATCAAAAACCCATCTAATTTAATCGGCAGACCCCATCAGGTAGACTCTTAATTTGGCTGCCAACCGTGTGAATTGGTGATTGATTAAACGCATATATGTCTCTTAGCTTGCAAAATTGGAGCTTGAAGGGGCAATTTAAGATACATAGATTGCACGCCATGATAGATCGGAATAGACCGGACATAGATTGCGATGTAGAGAAATTTAAGACCAGACCCAGTGAATTAATGTCAAGACCAACCTGAAGTGAACAAGTGAACGTAACGGTGCAACAGTTTGCTCATCGTAGCCGTCTTGGTGGAAACCAGTAAACCACAGTAACCTGTTACTTGCACACTTTGAAGACGCTCTCCTAACAAATAGATAATTCTAGGTATTTAGCTTATTCAGATTCAGAACCATTAATTGCCTTTCACAATTCAAGAATCAAGATTCACCCTCTAATAAAACCTAAGACATTGTGGGTTCCACATGATATAGGAAGGTACGTACATGATATCCAAACAACTTATATCCAAAAGATATCAACAGGTATCATCAATGTTTTATAAAACGGACCGGGAACCGGAATAATTCTAGCCATCGGTTTTTAGGTCGATGGTTTGACCGTCCGGTTTGAATGAATAGTCTATTTTGACAAAAAAAATAAAAAATGATTAAAAACCGTTGAACGAGTCAAATAAATTGACAGTTTGACCACCTAGATCAAAGGATCATCAACCAAATTAACAGTTTTTTGGCCAAATACCAGATTTGAGGTTAAAAAGGAACCAATTGCCAGAACAATTCCCGGGCCCAAATGATCCAACTGTCCAATTCAACAGCGATTCGAAAACATTGAGGGTGTTTGGTTCTGTTTACATTTATTTTATTGATGGTGCCACATAGATGTGCATGAGAGGGTGTTTGAACAATTCAACTGGCTAGATCAACGACAGGTTGAAAAATAAATGTGCATGTGGGTCACTTATGGGGTGCCAATTTGATCTCTTCTCATCCACCATGAAAATGCCGAAGTACTTAGTAGGATGAAATGGAATTTTCTTTTTCTTTTCATTGGCCTATGGCTTTCTTAGGACCGAATGACTGATTCTGGAAACTTAGGCAATGGCCTAGTATTTGTAATGATCACTTGCCATCCCTCTGAATGTTGAGGCATCAGATTGCCTCTCTATGGTAGGGTCAATGGACAGTGGATCTCACGTGTGCACCCTGCTATGTTCCCAACCCTGTTACTAAAGTCTCTGGTTGTAAAAGAGACATTAATTTGATCCCAACCCACCTTAATTCAGCTGGTCTAGTGGGCATTTAGCTGGTAGTTTATAGTCAAAATCAGAACTGAAACTGGAATCAAAATTCCTTGGAATTGAAATTAGAATGATTTATTCTCATAGTTTATTTAGTTCAAACAAGAATTGAAATTGGAATCAGAATGATCTATTCCTATAATTTATTTAGTTCATATAAGAATTAAAATTGGAATTGGAATAATTTAGAATGAGATTTCATTTCCAAGGGAAGAGGAGGAGAATGGTCATTCCTTCAAATAGGGGAATGCCATTCCAACAGAATGGGAATAAAATTTTTGATTCCACCCAATCAATAAAACAATTGGATTGTAGATCCCTATCCCCACAAACCAAATGAGCCCTAAGTTAATATTAGGATTTTATTTCAAAAACTGAAATATATATATATATATATATATATAATTTTCATTGATATACTAATTAAATGTAAGAAAGCCAATTGAAAGAGATTCTTCGAACATTCTCCTGCTCGTGGAGACTGACTGTTACAGCCGACTGAATAGCACCCCACCGCTTTCCCTCAAGAGGGTGTCTTATGTTCCTGGTCATTTCAATATACTATTAATTACACATACATTGTTTGTCGAAGTATGGTTTTCAAACTTTCCCACGGATTTTCTAAAAAAAAACAAAAATAAAATACTAATGGAGAGGAGTAGAGACGACTTCGCTTTTAAACTTGACAATGCACTATTAGTCCATTACAATTATTCAACATCGATTATTATCATTCATTGAACCAGATCACTTGCCTCTCTATGTTTATCTCACTTCATTATCAATAATAAAATTTGATGGGGTGGAAATGACCCCAATAAAACCAGGACACGTGGCGACTTTGTTGGACCAGTGAATACCCCGGATGGTCCAGCATTCACATTGTTTGAGGTACGTTGTCAGCCGTAGTTGATGAACAACTCGGCATTCGAGCTGAGCTACATAAGCAAAGAAACAGATCTTGCTACCTTAGAACCAACCTTACTAAACATCTTTACTACTTTACTAGAGCTTCCTCCATCATCCCCAACCAGGATTATCTCATCCTTTCCCAAAACCCCACCCTTTGACTCTTTTATTTTTGAAGGCTTTAAGTTGTCTCTATCCGAAGATATTCCCACATTTTTATTAGGCCAATTCAAATCAATTGGCCCAACTTCGCTATGAATGGAGCATTTAGGCCCAATCTACCCACTATCAATTAAACTTGTGACACGAGCCAAAGAGGGTTTGGGACCACTTGTTCCCTTTGACTTTGAAGTATCACATATACGTGAAGACAACCACATGCTGGTGCAGTCGTCCCATTTACCCATTCCTTTTGCCAGTGGGCCCTGGGTTCCTTTCACACGTGATTAAACATGGCGTGCGAGTCAAGATCAAATTAGCTCCCCACAAAGTTTTACAACACATTTCCGTCATGTATTAAGAACATTTCTCAATAATAATATTAGAAATGACGATATCATCGTCGGAAGATATTCCTAATACACAGCAAAAATGTATTTTGAGATATTATGAGGGGCAATCTTGTGAGAGGCTGATTTGAACTCGTGCGAGTCACCGATATGTGTTCCACTGATCCACTAGGTGTCTCACTCACCATCAGTGTGTATAGATTGGCACGAGCGTCTTCAACCTATATAGAGGTAAGTTCCAAACTCCGTAAACACTCTTGCATTTACTGCCATTGTCTAAACCTCGGACAGCTTGATCTCTTATTGATTTGCACGTTGGAGTCTCAAGTCCGAAATTTCACCCCAGGCCCTCTGACTCTTTTCTTTTTGCAGGTTATCTGCCTCCTTCACTCCGAATTGAGTCCGATCCACCACTGAGACTTTTGAATTTTGATCATCATCAAAATTCATTCCTGGAGCGATTGAAAGCTGAAAACTATAATCAACTTTTTTGCACATCATGGTCCTCTAGGGGAGTTAAGAACTGCTACCAACAAATGCTCCCAACATGCAATCATCAAGTTATTATAATCGTATATGGGGAACATCTTCCCATGAATGGGGAGGGAAATGTTTCCAATGTACAGCTGCATTGATCTGTTGGGAGCATTTTGTATATAGCATGCCCCTACCCCCTTTAGGGATGATCTATGGTATGCTTAGGCCGGCCTTAGCACCTATGATAACGGGGAGGGGCGTAACTCAGGCCCAGGGCCTGGCCTGGCACACACCCCAGGTCTGAAATATAAGACTGGGCGTTAATACCTAGGTCTGGAGCATGCTTTCAGCTTCAAAAGAATAAAAAAGGGATAAATCTCTTAAATTATTCTTACTGTTCATGAAATTGATAAGCCATATCCTTATTGTTTAGCTATTATCTTGTAGTACTCTTACGTTTTTTTTGACAATTGTCAAATTTACTCTCCATTATTCCTCAAATTTCATCCCCTCTTCTTTTCTCTTTCTCCTTCATCATCTTCTCAACATTGAACAGACGGCGGCCATTGTTGTTTTGCCCAGAGACAGCATTGATCATAATCCTCCCAAATGGCATCACTTCCATTAAGATGAATAGCGTTGCCATAGATGCCGAATTCGAGTTCTGGTCCTTTTTAGTATTTTTGTGATGCCTTGGGAGAGTTCCATCTTCAGTTCTGTTTTATATATATCATCTACCACTCTTAACACATATTTAAGGACAAGCGCAGCTTGGATTCTAGCCTGGTAACTCCCATGTTGTATAATCTGCGAAACTGATCCTATCAGTAGGCCGTTTCTGTCCTGAGATATCTTCTTCAACTTGTCGGCAGCTGGCTCAAGAAGGTTGAAAACACTTATTGCCTCCTCAACGACTACCGATTTGTCCGCAGCAGGCTTAACAAGATTTTATCTGCAACTCAGGTTTTCTTACCTCCTCGATAAGTTGGCGAACAAAGGTCGTATTAATATCGGATAGTGTATGTGTGTTTTGTTTTCAAAGCAAAAACCAAAAACATGTTTTCATAGGGTTATTTAATATGTCATGTTCCACAACTTAAATCATATATACAAATTATACACTACAATTTTTTTTAAATCATTATTTTGATGGTTTCAATAACATGTATTATTTTTTGAAACAATCAACCTATTTTTGATATTTAAAACAAAAATATAGTTCAGGGTATGGGTGAGCAAGAAAAACCAAACTAAACAATAAGACCGAATCGAAAATTCTGCTTAACTGAACTAATCAGTTCGGTATTTAAAAAAAAAAAAAAAAACTAAAGGTACTAGTTCAGTTTCAGTTAACCAATATAAAAAATCGGTGGCTAATCAAACCGGTTGGTATACATATATTTCTATATATTATATATCTTTCATATATATATTTTTATACTATCCATATATTATAAATTAATAAATATGCATTATACATATATATTTATAATATATAATATATTATTTATTATTTAAAATATATTATTTTTTATTATACATTTATATATATATATATATATATATTTTTATAATATATTATAAATAAAAAAATAAAAAAAATGATGAACCAAACCAACGATTAATTGAATTGGTCAACCAATTAATCGATCTGCTTCAGTTCAATTTCAGTCACCAGTTTTCTAGAAATCGATAGTACTAGTTCAGTTTCAAAAATAGGCCCAACCAAACCGTGAGCACCCCTAGTTCAAGGGCATTTTTTTGTATTGTAGCCATTTCAAAAAGAAATGAAAACGATAACATTCATTTTCTTGCTATAGGGGTGGTCATGAGCTGAGCTTTTCATAAGCTATTCGAGCTCTACTCGGCTCGATTTAAACAGAGCTTCGAGTCGAGCTCAAGCATAATAAAACTCATCTCGTAAGGCTTGCGAGCCTAATCGAGCTTCTACATATACATACATACATATAATACATATAAAAATATTATATACATATAGAAAATAATATATATATATAATCAAAATGTTATATATATAAATATTTTTATTTTTATATATAATAACAATAATAATAACAAATTATTATAATTCTTAATTTTTTTAAATATCAAATAAAAATTAAATTTGTATATATATATATATTTTTATTTATTTTTACAAGACATTTGACTCATAATTAAACTTGAACTTACGAGCTTTTGGCTCGAGCTCAAGTCTCTAGCTCGAACTCAAGCTTCATACTTTCTTTTAAAGCCTAGTTCTTATAGCTAGCTATTCGACTTGTTTTGGTTCGAATCCACCCCTATTTGGCTACACCATATAATTAAAAGATACAAATAATAGTGCAAGGGGCAAGTATTATTCATGTGTCCACATAAAAATAAAAGGGTAGAAAGATAAAAATGACATTTTAGATTTTTTCTATTAGATTTCTTCACACATCTTAACTTTATGATAAAAAAATCTGAATAACCATACCATTTTCAAACATTAAAATATTCTGAATTAACTTTCGTGGTGTGGAAGTATTGACATAATGCGGTAAAGATAAAGGGGAAGAAACATTTAGATTTAGATTTTAAAGGATGTACTTGAAATGTCTCAAGTCAATGTTTAGTTTTGAGTATTAAATATTTGGACAACCACCGGTCACAAACATTGACACTGTATGATATAATGAAAATGGGAGACATAGTTGTTAAGTTCCTAAGTCCTAGTTATTAGGATACATAAAAGTAAAAACATATTTTCATGAGGAGCAAACTGGATTTACTTTTAACTATCAAGGTTGTATTTGATGTTCTATTTATAAATACTTTTAACTTTTAATTGAAACAAACATTACTTTAAAAATGGAGGACTGTTTGTGAAACATCAAATTGACGTTTCACGTAAAAGTAGCAATGAAATACCAGCTGGCTGAATTGATAAGGTGTTGGCCGGTTGCTGCAAGAGCAAGAGATTTGGGATCAAAATCTTGCTGTCACTAGGCTTTGGGGTGTTTCGGGTCGTATCGTATCGGCCGGTTACAGTAATGGCATTATTCAATCTAAGGTTAAGCTGAAGTGAATTCATGTGTGATGTGACAAAAGATAATCTCTCACCAGTCGCCCGCCAACTTGTGTTGACCAATCCAAATAGTTTTAGGTTAGAAAGGTAGTAATAGCAATGTTACCCAACACAACCCGAAGTGAATGGCGGTGAGTTCGGGTGCAACGGTTGCAAATGGATTGGATCCAACTCAGACATACTAATGGTCCGTTTGTTTCCATCCTTTCTCTTTTGTTTGATCTGAATGAGATTCTTTGTGGAATGAGATTTTTTCATACGGGGGAATGGCCATATTATTAATAAAATAATAAAATATTAATGCAATATAGTTAAAGTAATGATAAAAAATTCATGAAATAATAGTAAAACATTAATAATTAAATAATAAAATATTAGTAAAGTATTAATAAAGTAATAGTACTATAATAAAATATTAATAAATTTTATACTAACATATTAATTATTAAATATAATAGATTAAAGGTAAAATAATAGAATTATTTATAAATATAATAATAAAAAATATTACTATAGTAATAATAAAATAATGATATATTAATACAATATTCATAAATAATTAATGACAAATACTAAAATATTAATTATTAAATACTAATAAAATAATAATTATATATTCATAAATATTAATAAAGTAATAATATACCAAATTGAAAAGTTTTAATTGATACTAGTTCTGACTTTAAATGAACCAAACAACAACAATCGAAATCTTATTCCAATTCCTAATTGAACCAAATAGGCATTAGGAATAGGTGATTTTGATTTTAATCCTGTGCACCAACCAAATGGACCCCAAAATATTTGAATAGAATCTTATCACATTTATTAATTTTATATCAGATTGAATTTATGGTTCGTTTGGTTTGCAGTTGGAATGGGACATCGGAATTGGAACAATCTATTCTTTTTGCTTGTTTGGTTTAGATGAGAATCAAAATCAATTGGAATGAGATTCTTATTCCCAAGAGAGGGGAGGGAATGTTTTCTCAAATGGAAAATGTCATTCCACCAGAAATGGAAATCAAATTCCGATTCCGCCCAACCAAATGGTTGGAATTTAGAATGGGCCATTCGATTCCAATTCTATATCCTATTCTTGCCAAGCAAACGCACCCTTAGGTTAACGGCATTAATCGAATCGGATTCGAATCTGAAAGATAGATAACATTAGCAGTCCAATCGGGTATGCGGGTGTTAGTCCGTATCCACGCCATAAACGTCAACTTTAAGAGGTTCTAGCCAATTGTGGACAGATGATGAGCGACTTTCCTTTTCTACCTTTTCCTGGCTCCTCTACTCTCTACTCTCGTCTCTCTACTATCACATGATGGTGGAAAGGGAGTAGATGAATAGAAGCAATAGCAACTGCCGTTAGCTTTTTGGTACTTTAGTATCTTTCTCTCTGTTTGGAATCTTATAGATTCTGAGCGACCCTCGAAACGCAAAGATTATTTTGGTAAAACCTCGAAAGAGTTAAGAAGCTCCTTCTTGGATCTCCACCTTGCCCTGCATCCCCAGATTTTGTTTCCACAGGTGGATTTTATGTTTTGTTTTAATGGTTATCCTTATGAACCCCTCGGAAGACGTTTTCCACTAATTTTAACTGACTTGCGGTTCGCCTTGAGAGCACCGTTTAAATTACGGGAGAGGAAGTTAAATTCTCTGTTTCTGTCTCTCTTGCTTCGCATCCTATTGAGCTCTCGGCAAAAGAAGGTTTAGCGAATGAATTTTTGGGTTTTGTAGCATTAACATGCCTTCTTTAAGGTTAGTTATAACATGAGCTGTGATTTTAAGCTTTAATTGTCAATATATTGATCTGGGCTCTTTGAATTCGCTTCTTTTCAAGTGGGAATATCAAATGGAACACGTTTTCATGCTTTACCTGATTACTGTTCCATCTGGGTTGTTTGTATTTTCTTCTGTAGGGATTTTTGGAGAAGGCATAAGAGGAAGGTTTTTGCTACATTGGGAATTTTGGGAAGTGGGTATGCTCTGTATAAGCTTTATGATGCCCACAGGCAGAGGCTTTATGATTTGGAGAGAGAACTTGAAGGCCAGAGGGAAACTGAAGAACTTATTAAGGCTCAGTTAAGAAAAGCAAATTACTATATGCCATCACTTAATATTGTCTGAATTTCCAATTTCTGAATTTGATTTTATTTTTCTGGGTATTGTCTTTGACTGATAGACTCCAAGCCCATTTTGAAAACATTCAAAAGATAGCTGACTCGACCACATTGCCTTATGCAATGCACTTTTTACGGAGTCGGATATCAGAGGAGCTGGACATTTCTCCCTTGACGGGGAGACTACTGCAAGGGAAGGGTCATCCTAATACTCTGACATCTTTGGAGAAGCTAGAGCTATGGGAAAGACTTAAAGTTCTAAGTATGTACTTGTACTATGTAGTTTCCCATTTTGATTGCACAAAGGTGATTTTGGTTTCCTATTTAGTGGGTTTTTATTTGCACCATGTTCAGATGTCGCCTGGAACAAAATGATTTTATTGTGGTTTTTCACTGTATTCTTGAGCAGTTTACCATCCAAATAGGAGCCGTTTCCAGTTGCCAAGAGAATATAGCAATGATGTAATTTTCAAGCAGGGGTTTACATCTTTTTTTTTTTTTTTGTCTTAACAACCAGTAATCACCATGTCAGATGATGATTTGTAGTTTCAAATGCCATGTAAAATTGAAGATAGAAAGAAAGTTTCCATGGCATCCAAACATACTATTAATCTAATGGTATCCCACTTGTAGAAAAGTTTCAATATGCAATTCTTAGTTAGAATGATTTTTGCCCCCTTTTGTTCCTTTTTTCATAGGTTTCACGATAATGGTGTTGTCACTGTGGACAATGACAATGCTTAACTTGTATGTAAGAGTTCAAGTGAACATCTTAGGGAGACATCTATATATTGATACAGCACGAAATCAGGATCTGGGGTATGCTTATCTACCGGTAAGAGTTACTCTTTCTTCTTCTTATATTCCTTATAGCATTTATTAGTATCCCTTCATCTGCTCATCTGTTTCTGTAATCACTAATTTGTAATACTTGATGTAATCTTATCTGACTCTAATCCCTTTGCACTGATTTTGTACTTGTATCATTTTTCCAGTCTAGCAAGTCCTGTGGGTATATATTGCTGAGAGTTTCTTGATATTTTGGTTAAGATTGATCATTATATCTAAGAACTGGAGCTAATTCAATATGTTTGTTAAGAAACAGATTCATATTCCATGAATCAAAAATTGCTTTTTGTAAATTTTCTTGACGATGGTAATTAGAATCCTGGATCCCAATGCACTAAAGATAATTTGTGGGGACGTGTACATTCTGACTTCTTGGAAACTGATCATTGAGAAAATCCATTGTTGACTTGTTATCAATGGATAAGTTGGACTTAAATATAAAATAAAGTAGTCAACAGTTTACACACTCATTTTCTTTTAGTCTGAGAATCCTTCTTTGTAAACTGTCCCTAATCCCTATGCCTACATTTCCTAAACCTGTAATTAAATCTATATTGACTTGTTATCAATGGATAAGTTGGACTTAAATATAAAATAAAGTAGTCAACAATTTACACACTCATTTTCTTTTAGTCTGAGAAACCTTCTTTATAAACTGTCCCTAATCCCTATGCCTGCATTTCCTAAACCTGTAATTAAATCTATATTAGAATCTAGTTGATATGTGATCAAGGCAGTCTACCAAAACTCAGGAATTTGTTGCTTCTCATTTGGTTTTTCTAGGCTTACAATACTGATGTAGGAAAAGAAGGCTTTCTTCTGTAAATCATCAAAGTTGAAGCCTTAGTGGCAAGCATGGTTCAAAGTATCAATACACCTCTGTGTATCAGCACTTTGAACCTTGGTTGCACAGACAATTAGCATTTATACTTGGGTCAAATTAACAGAGAACATGGTCCTTGATTTTACCCAAGAAATGGATTTTTGGTTCGTAATGAAATTTGAAAAACTTTTCATGTCAATGTTTCTTTTGCATTATTTTTGTTGAAGATTAATTAGTTTTATGATGTTTTTCTGAGTAGATGTTTTATGTTAGTTGTTAGATAGGAGGTGGGGACCACAGTAGTTATGTGAGTCCAAATTTTATTATGTTTTTGAGTGTAATATATGCTGTTTTATGTTTTGCCGCCCTATAAGGGCATAGTTGTCTTTGTACTGTTCTATTATTTTAGTATAAATAATAAGTGAAGGGGGCGGCTAGATTATTGCTCTCTTTTCTTTTCAACTTCTCTTCTTCTCTTCTTCTCCTTCTCTCTTCAAGAAACTACTTTTTTTTTATATTTTTTAATTCAGCAGATTTCTACTATTTTCACCAAAACCTGGGCTGTAAATGTCTGTGGCTAAATTTCCTTCTATTTCTCAGCATGTATTCTAATAATGGTCTCTCATGAGTTTGAGATTGAGAGGGGGCTTGAGGGATTTGGAAGTTCTTGTGGCTTTGTCTATCATTGAGTCATTGAGTAGGGTTTTCTTGAGCTTTTTCTGTTTTTGATATTAGGATTTGGACCATCAATTCATTAGGCTGTTTCTCTTGTGTGTTGTTTATTTAAGGCCTTATCCTCTCCTCCCACCCCCATTTCATCCTTTCCTGTGAATGTTGTCTGGTGTGGTTCAATACCACCTAAAATTAGAGTTTTCTGTTAGTAAGCTAAACGCATGAAGATCAACACTTGTAAGAATCCCCAAAAGATAAGACTCAATTGGTACCTCTCACTGGATATTTGCTTCCTTTGTCAAGCAAATTGTGAGACTATGCACCACTTACTGTCTCCCGTTCTTTCACTTCTAGCATTTTGAAGTACTTCTATTCTTTATTTATGGACTGATGATGAACGACTCTCCTTTTTTACCTTTTCTTAGCTCCTCTAGTCTCTACTCTCGTCTCCCAATGATAGGGAAGCTTTGGCTTATCTTATTTGTACAACATTATTTATATACTATTGACAAATGAGGCTTTCTTTATTTTTTTATTAATTTTCTGTTATCCATGGGTTGATTATGTTATTGAACCAATGTGTCATTTATTTTATTTGGTTAATTGACTGCTTCCTCATTAAGGGTATAAATTTAATTTAGTCTTTTATTTACTTAATATAAAGGGTAGTGGGGGACTTAATATTAAAATGAGATGTACATTTACCAATCTGGCGCTTCTTAAATGACATAAAAGACAAATAATGACAGATATGCCCTGCTGTTAATATATAACTTCTAACACTCCCCCTCAAGCTAGAGCATAAATATCATATAGCTCCAGTCATACACACACAAGTTAACCCTTTGGTGAACAGATCAGCTAGTTTATCCTCTGGCTTCACATAAGGAGCAACTTCTCCACCTGTGATCTTCTCCCTCGAAAATGACTGTCCACTTCTATGTGCTTGGTTCGCTCATGAAACATAAGATTAGAGGAGATGAGAAGCCTTATCACAAAACAACTTTATAGGCTTTGAGATGCCTACTCCAATTTCCTATAATAGATGCTTCAACCAACTCACAAGCGGTATGAGCCATTGCATTATGTTCTGCCTCAATACTGCTTATGGCAACCACACTTTGCTTCTCATTCTTCCAAGTAATGAGATTCCCTCCAAGAAATGTCTAATAGCATGCGATAGACTTTTTATTTGTTGTGGATCCTGCCCAATCTACATTTGAGTACCTTTCTAAGGACAAATCTTTCTCTTTCTTGTACATTAGCCCTCAACCTAGAGCTCCTTTTAAGTAATGCAACACCCTGATAATACCATCCAATGACTAGTCCTTGGATTTTGTGTAAACTGGCTTAACACTGCCATACTAAATGATATATATCTTTTTTTAGTAATAGTGAGATAGATAAGTTTACTCATCAGTTTCCTGTATCTCCTTGGATCATCATCATCCAACAACTCCCCCACACTATTAGTTATCTTAGTGTTTGAATCAATGGGAGTTTCGTTGAATTGCGAGGAACCCTTACATATAACATATAACATATAACAACTCATAAGTTTCTATATCCAAATTAGAGACTTTTGGCCTGTACTACCTGATCTGTACCCCCCGGAAAAAGTCGAGTTTTAAATTTAGAGTTATAATTCGAATTGACTAATCCGGTATATTTTCCACATTCATAGGAGTGCATCTATGTTTCTGCTTCACGAATATGATATTTTCTGGGCATTTCTAATAATATCAAGTGTTGTTCCTATTTTGGCATATCTAATTTCCAGAGTTTTGGCCCTGATTAGGGAAGGACCTGAGAAACWTTCTAGTTATGAATCGGGTATAGAACCAATGGGCGATGCACGTACTTACCTTTTCGGAGAGGATGATGGTGGTGCAATTGAGGCTAGGTTAGGTAGATCCATTGATGTAAACCTGTTCATGGGCTAGGGTTGGGCCAGGCTTTACCACTTATCAACAAAAAATTTCTAGGCCTAAGCCTAAGCCTGACCCTTGTATAAAGCCCAAAGCCTGATCTAAGTAGGATTGAGACCCAAGAAAAAATTATTATATATTACTAATAATAATATATTAGTAAATGCTAATTATATATAATATTATCGGTTTGGGTTGGGTATGACCACACAAGCTACTTGGCCAATGAATAGGTCAACTGATGGTAAGGATGATGGTGGTGTAGCTGAGGTTGGAGTTGGAGCAACTAGTTTATGCAGTTGCTTGACATACACTTTGTGAATTGGTGGCAACATAGTTTCCTCAATAGTGGGAAGGGGAACATGTAAAGATTCCTTGTTTCCTTTGTAGTATCCAAGTAGGAAGTGGAAGAGGAACAAGAGAAGACAAAGGAGAATCCCCAACAAAGAAAAAGAGAACAATTTTAAAGAAGGAAATATCTAGAAGGACAAACAACCCGTGGATCAAGTTTATCCAATCAAGGACCTAGTTTTTACACAAAACAAATATAACCGAAGACCCGAGGAGGGAGAAGCTGAAGAAAACAAAAGGGAAGAAGGAAATTTTCCATCAAGAATAGAAGATGTCATACAATTAATGAGGAAACATGAGGTAAGAACAACATACTCCAATAAATTTAGGAACTAATGTTTGGGTCAAGAGAGCTTGAGCTTATTTCAAGTAAATGCTGATTATTTTGTTTAACCATACTGTTTTTCTATGGTGTATGTCACAAACCAGTTCAAAGAGAAAAGAAAGAGTTTTAGGGGTGTCTAAACACTTACCCGACCCCCACCCCCAAAGAGCCATATATATTAAATAATATTAATAATTACAGAGGGGTCCTTGGAGGACTAAAAGATAAAAAGGCTGAAAAGCAAAAACAAAGAATATAAAAGGAACATGACTATGTACAGTAGGGACTATAGCAATACAATACATCAAGTTTCTTCACACTCCCCCTCAAACTGATGCCAGAACATAAGCATCAGTTTGCCCACAAGAAACACATATCTAGAATCTAGATCTTGTCATGGGCTTCATAAATATATCCACAATCTGCAAGTCTGAAGCTACATGAGGAAGAGAGATGGAGCCAGCAAGAAACAAGTCTCTCATGAAGTGACAGTCCACTTCAATATGTTTAGTCCTCTCGTGGAACACTGGATTGGATGCAATCTTAGTGGCACTAGTGTTATCAGCATAAAGAGGAATAGGAGTGGGAAGATGAACACCAAGATCAGTAAAGAGAGACTGGAGCCAAACTATCTCACTACAAACAGAAGACATAGCCCTATATTCAGCCTTTGTAGATGACTTTGAAATTGTCTGTTGTTTGTTGCATTTCCAAGAAATGAGGGAGTCTCCCATAAAAACACACCACCCTGAAGTAGATCGTCTGGTGTTAGGGCAACCTGCCCAATCTATATCAGCATAGGCCCTCAACCGAATAGGTGAAGAGGAAGAAAAGAATAGTCCCTGAGATAAAGTACCACAAACATAACGAATAATCTGATGTACAGC